AATTACTCAGTGAATTCCTAATAATTTTTCAGTACACTGATAGTAAATTCTATGCAAATTATTTTGTAAATTCAGTGTAAATTCTCATAAAATTACTCCGTAAATTCTCAGTAAATTATTCAGTGAATTCTCAAAAAATTCCCAGAAAATTCTTTGTAAATTACTAAGAAAATACTTAGTAAATTCTCAGTAAATTAGTCATTAAGTTTTCAGTAAATTACCAATAAATTCTGAGTAAAATCCTAGTAAATTCTTAGTAAATTACTTAGAAAATACTCATTAAATTCTCAGTAAATTACTTAGAAAATTTTCAACAAATTACACAATTAATTCCCAGTAAATTATTGATAAAAATAGCGAGTGAATTACTCTGTAAATTTTTAGTAAATTACTCAGTAACTTTTCAGTAATTTTTCAAAAAATTCTCAGTAAATTTTCATTAAGTTCTCAGTAAATTACTACGTTAATTCTCAATAAATTACTCAGTAAATTCTCGGTAAATTCTCTAAAACTTTCCAGTAAATTTTTAGTAAATTACTAAGAAAGTACCTAGTAAAATAATCAATAAATTCTCAATAAATTACTCAGTGAATTCCCAGTAAACTCTCAGTAAATTACTAGTAAATTCTAAATAAATTACCCAATAAATTCCTAGTTATTACTCACTAAATTATTAAGTAAATTCTCATTAAATTCTAAGTAAATTGTTAGTAAATTACACAGTAAATGTAACAACCCTCACTCTACCCTAGTCATGCTTGCTTATATTACATGATCTTGTCTTGATATATTGCATCTTTGCAAACCTTGATTTGTCTTGCTTAAGTGTTCCTTGCATGTTTTGTACCTTGCTTGGTGTGAGTTTAGCCGAGGTCATCTTCAGTCTAGAATTATCTTGGAACCACTTTGTTTGACCTCCACCTTCGCCCTGACATATTGGCCGAGATGTCATTATCTAGGCTGAGGTGTTCATCACCAAGGCCGAGATTCATCACCAAGGCCGAGATATGTATTATCTAGGCCGAGATGTTACCTTTGCACCTAAGTGATCTTGTCCTAGAGTGGTATGACCTAGACCGAGGTGTGGCACATCTAGGCCAAGGTGTGGCACAGCTTAGTCAAGTGTTGTCCTTTCTATCCGAGATCATTGTTCCCCTGCTTGCCGATGTCTTGTTCTTAGCCGAGATAATTACCCGCCGGAGTGCCCATGCCTGCCATCTTGCTTGTTGAACACACTTTGTTATAGTCTTGTCCTTTCACTTAACCACCTTTTTTAGGAGAACCAACCTGGTAGTGCCACGTGCCCCTACAGAGGGTTAAGTCAGCCGACAGACCCAAAAAATATACATTTTTGTATTACATCTTTGCCTTGTAGAGAGAGAGGCTCTAGGAAGAAGAAGTTTTAGAGTGAGAGAGTGGGCTTTTGAGCTTGATTCCTAGGGATCAAACCGTTAGATTCGCGTATTGAGGTTAGATTCTTAATTTACTTTTGTTGTTCCTTATGTTTATCTAGTTGCATTGCACGATCGAACCTGTTCTGCATGTTATGCATTGGTTTAAAGTTGGTTTTAGAAAGAGAAGATAGTGTTCATGTGTTTTTGAAGAAAAGCCTCGTTTGATTCGAAAGTTTGCATTGAGGCTCATGTTTTTGTGTTTATTTTGATAAGATCCTTGAGTGTGGGTACCCAAGTCCATGTTTTTGAATTCATAGCATGAAACCTCAGCTTTTGTAATAGCAAGTTTTGATTTTTGCATTCATCTTCGTCATGTTCATGTTCTTCATGTTCATATTCTTCAAGAAAAGGGAACCCAGTTTTTCCCGACTTCATTTCCTTGGATGTGGCCATCGGGACCACACCTCGGCAAGGAGGTGTGGGACATCGGCCAAGATCTGGTTGGTGCCTATTATGTTTTCCCGAGATGAGGAACAGTGTTTTGTTTTGAATCGCCTTAGTTTTTGAAAGAATGCCAATGCCGAGATCATTTGCATTCATGTAAAGCTTGTTTGTTAGTGCATTCAATGGGATTTGTTATGTGCTTGTAGGCCTTGGATCCTCGCTGGTAACCTCGACGTTTGAAGAACTATGTGAGTGGTATTTTTAATAAAATTATGTTATTAAGTTTTGATAAAGTTTTGCCTTGCTTGTTTTGGAAAAGTATTTTGTGAAGCATGAATGATGATCCCTATTTTGTATACCAAGTATTAGCCTTGTTTTGAATGACAATCTTGAAAAGTCCGTACGTGCTAGGGGACTATAAGCATTTGTAGCACAATCTTGAAAAGTCCGTACATGCTAGGGGACTATAAGCATTTGTAGCACAGTCTTGAGAAGTCCGTACGTGCTAGGGGACTATAAGCATTTCTAGCACAACCTTTGTTAATGTTATCCCTTGGAACTCGAAAGACTTTAATTGTTGAGACTTGAAAGATTTGTTAGATCAACTTGATTTGCCCTTGGATTTTGTACAAGATGTGTTATGCTTTGATTTGATAAAGATTTCGGATATCATTCATGTAAACCCCTTTATTATTGGTACCATTCACTGAGTATCCAAGCTCACCCCTCTTTATATATATGTAGGTGACGAGTAGGACGGCGGTGACGCCTAGAAGTACTTGCTACTTGTTTTGGATTTTGCACTTTTGCAGCATCTTGAAGATTATGCTTCTTAGTTGTACTTCATTGTATTCTTGTATTTGATGGCTGAGAAGCCTTTTGGTCAAGATGTATTTTTATACTTCATTTTGTTGTATTAAAGCTATGTAATGATGTATGCCATTCCATTTAACTTATGCACTGCTCTTATGGACTACTTAGCTTTGAATTTATTGCTTCCGTACATGTTAGCCCCATACGTAATACTCTGATTGTGTGTGAATTTTGACAGTTGGCCTTCGATAATCTCGGATTACTGGCCATCATGGCACCATTCTACTAGGGGCGAAATGGGGTCGTGACAGATTGGTATCAGAGCACGCGTTCCTTATAGTACGTTATTCACACACTTTGAGTCCTAAAGAGCATAGGGTGTCCCTTAGAATGATGTCAAGATTGCATCATGTTGCTTGCTACTTGACAAGGTGTGCATCATCTCGGCATGATCATTTATTACTTGCATGCATGTTTATTTGCTCATCCTGTTTAAAAGTCACATTTTGCATACTCTTAGCATCATGAGAAGGGGTAGACCACCAATTGGCCGAGATCATCCCGAAGACAGATTGGACAGATTAGAGAGACTGGTCGAAGGCTTGGTCCGTGAGTTAAGGCAAACTCAGCCACAAGACGCTAGTACTACTCCTACCCAGGCCGAGCAGACAAATGACCGACATGCAGTTCCACCTCCGCCTCCTCCAGTGCTGCAAGTGCCTCCACAGAAAGCTTTATATGGGGATGGCACCATAGCCTTGATCAAAGAGTTCAAAAAGATGAAACCGCCGAAGTTCTCTGGGGGTATTGAACCGATAAAGGCCAAAGCATGGGTCTTGGAAATGGAGAAGTTGTTTGAGATCTTTCCCAGTACCGACGCCCAGAAGGTGTCATTGGCAACATTCACACTAGACGACGATGCACGAAGATGGTGGATGATGACCCGAGAAAACAACCCAGGTCTGACTTGGGCCAAATTTTTGGAATTGTTTTACAACAAGCATTTCCCCCTTAGTGTTCGAGACCGTAAGACCACAGAGTTTCAGACTTTGACATAAGGCAACAAGACAGTGGCAGAATATGACCGTGCTTTTACCGAGTTGGTTTGGGAAGTGAAATTCTGAATTGGATTGTTGAATGGGAATTTTTGAACCTTAAGATATTGCCAATGCTGGAAAGCAAAACTTCTTTTCCCTTCCTTGTCCCCAACACTTGGTTGAAGAAAGGATGTCTACTGATTGTACTAAGTATAGTTGATAAGTAAAATTGATAGCAGTCAATATCATTTCCTATTATTCTGTCCAGCCCAGTCAGTGTTGTTATAGTGGTTGATCACACTAACATTATAAGTAATGTCTGGACGAGTGACAGTGAAATAGTGGGTGATTACCGCCACCGGTTATGACTGGTTACAGCTGTGTGATAGAAATTCACAATCATAATGACTGCCATTGTTACGTAAAGGCCGTAATCATGGTTATTAGAATTGCGATCCTACGATCCTACATTATAAAACGATCCAGATCGTTGTAGGATTGATGTTATAATAGGATCGCAAGTAGGATTGTATAGGATCGTAGTTAGGATGGTAAGTTGGATCGTAGATTTTGTGATTTTTCATCTTGTTTTTAATATGTTGTATTTTTATCTTTTTTTTAATAGAAAGTAGGATCTTACGATTCTCGATCCGATCCTACAATCCGATCCATGAGACCCTCTCACCGATCCTACCTAGGATCCTGATTTTAACATCCTTGGCCGTAATGGCCATTACAGAACTGTTACAGCACTGTTATGGCCATCACAACCGTTACGCTTATGTTTTTAGCAAATTTTGTATATAAGGCCAGCTTGTATAGTTTTTCTTGTTTTCAGCTATAAAAAGCACAAAGAAGGCATATAGAATTTATTCTCACTTAGATTTACATGTTCTCACTTAGATTTACATGTTCTTAGATTTAAAGTAGAAAGATGAAAAGATTTGTCTGTTCTCTTGGAAGAGCAAGTTGTTTTTATCTTTGGCCTAGTAAAACTAAAATTTCAAGGATCATCTGCTATTCGCCTCCCTTGACCCTTGGCTGTTTTGTTCATATCATGTTTAAGTTTTTACTTCTTTTCTACATGTATACATTGTTTAGCAACATTATTGATTACGAGTAGGAATCTTAATACAATTTTTCTGCGCACTTCCTATGTGCCTTCATCTAATGAATGAAGATACTTGGGACTTACGCGTGCATTTGGTGTTCTGGACTTTGTTGTCTTTGAAGAGATTGCTTCTTGTTGTCTATATAAATATTTTGATCCCCTCTTTTGCGGGTGATTTTATGAATTTTACTCTATATCCTTAATCTTGGGGTTTTCTTGTGTCAGGGTGAAGAAGTGACATTTGATTATAATTATGTGCGGGTTTTTGGGGCTGCTGCAAAAAAATGTGTCTGTGGCTCATCTCAGTGTCGGGGTTATATCGGTGGTGATCGGCTGAATACTGAAGTAATTGTTCAGGGTGATTCAGATGATGAATATCCTGAACCTGTAATGGTTTATGAAGATGGTAAAATTGATAATGACTTTAAAAATTTAATATCTGCAACCAGTTCCTTTGATGGTACAGAAATGCAAATTGCAGACCGTATGTTATCAAACAAAGATAAGATGGACAAGTCTGCAACTGCTGTTGGACCATTGGAGAGTACCACCGAACTGCAAACTACAAAGATATTGGGAGAAGATGAAGATGAAACTGATAAATCTGCAACTGCTGCTCAACACGTAGAGATTTCCACAAAATCTGCATGTGGTGCACAATTGCAAATCCCTTGGGAAGTGGAGAACTCAATGGAAAAGTTAACACCTTCTGTTCGACTAGTAGAAACAATTATATTGAGTAAAACCATCTCTGATGCTCAGCAAGAGTCTGTTCAAGGATTAGAGACTCCTGCACTCACTACAACTAGTAGAAAATCATTATCTGATACAACTGATGCTAAGAAGAAGTGCAAATCTGACACAATTGAAGACAGGCACATTTCAAAGTCACATTCCCTCGTGAAAACTTCTCGTTCATCTTCTTCAGTTAAGAAGGGAAAATTGAATAGTAATTCTATGAATGTCAACAAATCTGAGATGATAGTCAATAAATCTCATGTGCTAGCTTACAAACCCAAAAAACTACTGGAAGGTCCTCTAAGTGGTCATTTTGAAGCTGGTATGGGATTTTCTATCTTCTTCTTTTTACCCTCTACATATAGGGATGTTACACAAAACTTCTTACTATAATGTTGTTTTGCCCCTTAATTGTTCCAGTTGAGGAGAAACTTGACGAGTTGCTAGATTCTGATGGGGGAATAAGCAGAAGAAAAGTAAGCAATTTTTTGCTCATGTTATATCAAATGCTTTTTCTTTTTTTGGTTTTAATCTTTTCTTTTTCTGAGACTTACTTTTTTGTAGATTATGGAACTTGATAAGTTATATTTTTGTGTCACATAATCACATTGTTCTGTGCTTTCATGTGCTTTTTAATGGTAACGAGTCCAAAACTTCAGAGGTCATTTTACTTGTCAAAAAAAAAGAAAAAAGAGTTCTTTAGATCTTGTTGCAGGTTCATCCTATTGAAAGGAAAGATTTTGCAAGACTCTCATGGATCCAGGTTTGCAATTCATCCAGGGAACACCAAGATGTATCAGGATGTAAAACAGACTTTTTGGTGGCCGAATATGAAAAGAGAGATAGCCGAGTTCGTGTCCCAGTGTTTGTATTGTCAACAAGTGAAAGCAGAACATCAGAGGCCAACAGGACTTCTCCAACCCTTGCCGATTCCTGTGTGGAAATGGGAACACATCTCCATGGACTTTGTGATTGGTTTGCCGAAGACACAGAAAGGGATGGATTCGATCTGGGTTATAATCGACAGATTAACTAAGTCAGCACACTTCTTGCCTGTTCAGACTACATTCAATGCTGACCGACTTGCTGTACTGTACATGAATGAGATTGTGAGACTTCATGGAGTGCCGATGTCCATTGTATCAGACCGGGATCCGAAGTTTGTTTCTAGGCTTTGGCAGAGTTTACAAAGAGCTTTGGGGACTGAGTTGAAGTTTAGCACAACTTTTCATCCCCAGACCGATGGCCAAACAGAGAGAACAATTCAGACACTTGAGGACATGCTTAGATTATGTATATTAGACTTCAAGGGAAGCTGGGAAGTGCATTTTCCATTAGTAGAGTTCGCTTACAACAACAGTTATCAAGCTAGCATTGGCATGGCGCCGTATGAAGCCCTGTATGGAAGGAAGTGCAAATCACCGATATGTTGGACCGAGGTAGGGGATAAAGCTTTGATCGGCCCCGATCTAGTTCAAAGGACAACCGAAAAGATCAAGCTTATCCAACAGAGAATCAGAACTGCTCAGAGTCGACAGAAGAGCTATGCCGACCAGAGAAGAAGAGAGTTGGAATTTGAAGTTGGGGATCATGTTGTCACGACCCGAACCCGCCCCCATGGGTTAAGGACGTAACCGGCCAGTAATCCTAAGATTACCTACGGCCTCAAACCAAAACAGACTTAAAACATCAGAGTAAAGAGGGCCAAAAGGGAAGCAAAATTTAAAACTTTGTCCATAGAGCCGTGCTTATATGCACTTTAAAACAAACCATACGCATATACGTTAATAACTCACAACAGAAACATAGTGACATAAGTACTGTACAGACAGGATCATTCAAATCTAAGTCAGCCAAGCAAAACTACATACAGACGTATTCAAAACTTCGCCAACCTAACAAAATGTAACTACATGACAAAAGGGCGAAGATGGGTCTCGTGCGTGAGACACAAGGGCTGACTCTCTCAAAACCTTAGTTGTTCCATACAGACTTCACTGAGGCTGGGTCTGGACCTCTCTTGGCTCACCTACAAACACAGGAATGAGCGTGAGCGAAAGCCCAGTGAATAATATCAAATCAAATACAGAAGTTACATAACAATGTAGAACAACATGTTCCAAACGGCCTTGGGCCCAATTCATATTTCTATTTAACAGATATATGACTATACGAAATTCAAATCAAGTGACTGTAGTTCAAAACATTCTGGCCTTTGGCCCATTTAGATTTCCATTCATGTCAAAGTGGCCTTCGGCCCATTCAATTATGTCAAAACGGCCTTGGGCCCAATCATTTATGTCAAAACGGCCTTTGGCCCAATTATGTACGTCAAAACGGCCTTTGGCCCAATCATTTATGTCAAAACGGCCTTTGGCCCAATTATGTACGTCAAAACGACCTTCAGCCCATTCGATTATGACAAAACGGCCTTCAGCCCAATCACTTATGTCAAAACAGCCTTCGGCCCATACATTCGTATCAAAACGGCTTTCGGCCCATACATTCGTGTCAAAACGACCTTCGGCCCATTCATTTATGTCAGAACGGCCTTCCGCCCACTCATTCATTTCAAAACGACCTTGGGTCCATTTATGTTTATCAAAACGACCTTGGGTCTATTTATGTTTATCAAAACGACCTTGGGTCCATTTATGTTTATCAAAACGACCTTGGGTCCATTTATGTTTATCAAAACGACCTTGGGTCCATTTATGTTTATCAAAACGACCTTGGGTCCATTTATGTTTATCAAAACGACCTTGGGTCCATTTATGTTTATCAAAACGACCTTGGGTCCATTTATGTTTATCAAAACGACCTTGGGTCCATTTATGTTTATCAAAACGACCTTGGGTCCATTTATGTTTATCAAAACGACCTTGGGTCCATTTATGTTTATCAAAACGACCTTGGGTCCATTTATGTTTATCAAAACGACCTTGGGTCCATTTATGTTTATCAAAACGACCTTGGGTCCATTTATGTTTATCAAAACGACCAAGTACTGGTTGCCTTCAATTCCAGCTCGAGCGTGAACTCGGCCGCTCGAGCGTACTGCCTGTCTACATAGCTCCCCGCTCGAGCGTCAACTTCCCCGCTCGAGCGGACCCTTAAGACCTACAAAAGTACTGGATAGGTGAAATTTACGCTCGAGCGTTTATTCTGGCACTCGAGCAGAAGGCCTCTACATGGCTTCCCGCTCGAGCGTTAAATTCCACGCTCGAGCAGACATCATGGTCTGCAGAAAATACTAGGAGCACGAAATTCACGCCCGAGCGGCGGTTTCCCCACTCGAGCGGACATCAAATTTCTGGGTTTTTCAAAATGTGTTCTTGAGCTCAAAACGACCTCCAAAGGTTCCAAACTCATAATTTCAGCTCAAACTTCACATATTCATGTACTAACATGGTACAAATACTAAATTACAACATAATGGAGCTCAATTTCACAAAATAATCACATGCATGGCTCAAATTACACCAAACTCATTTTCATCATAACACATTCATGTATTCAAAGCTCCTATCCTCATAAATTGTACATGCATGTGAGGTATTACTCTCATTCTCAATCTCATATGATGAAAAGATGGTCAAATACATGGATTTCAACCAAAATTGCAACATGAGTCATGTAATTCAAGCTCAAATATGCAAATTCAAAACAATACATACATGCATGCATATATAGTCTTCAAATTCATCAAAACCAACTCCTTTCATGTTCTAGATCACAAATTAATCTTCAATTCACGAAATCACAACTCAAATTCATGAGTTAGGGGTTGGTTACTCACCTAGGAGCTTTAATCTTCTAAATTCTAGTCAATTCTTGAGTTAAATCTTCAAATTCCCAAGCTAGAGCCAAAAATTGCTCAAGTCTCTTCCTTTCTTTCTCTATAGCCGGCCTCTCCCTCACTCTCAATTGTCTAACTCAGATTTGAGTTTTGAGAGAGCTAAAGGAGAGTGCAATGCAAATATACAACAAGCCCCACTAACAAATATTTTAATATAAAATAATGGGGTACTTAATTTATCAATTTAATCAGTTTAAATTGACCAAAATAAATTTTCAATTAAATTTCACCGTAGGCTCTAAAAATTATGCCAACCACAATGGCGTAATCAATTTCGAGTTCTGTGGCCGATAAGGCCCTCAATTTAATTCCAAAGCAGATTATTCAAATAGATATTCCTACGGTGGACAGATAGAATTCTAGAATCACATATATCACATAATGGCACACCAAATCATATCAAACATATAATCAAATTCATATTAAGGGCCAATTAACGCATTACGGAACAGGGGTATTACACATGTATTCCTGAAGGTTTCACCAATGAAAGGAACTTCCAGATTTGGGAAGAAAGGTAAGTTAGCACCTCGTTACATCGGGCGGTTTGAAATACTTGAGAAGGTTAACCCAGCCGCCTATAGACTGGCTTTACCGCCGGAACTAAGTCAAGTTCACAATGTGTTCCATATTTCGATGCTGAGGAAGTATATTCGGGATCTACTGCATGTAATCGATCATTCCGGGATTGTGGTTAGTGAAGATTTAGACTACGAGCAGAAGCCGATAAAAATTATTGACAGACAAGTGAAACAGTTGAGGAACAAATCGATACCAATGGTGAAAATTGAATGGAAAGAGCATTACGGCGAGGATGCTAGATGGGAAATAAAAGAAGAAATAAGAATCCGTCATCCGGGATTATTTGTAGAACAAGGTGATTTAAGTTTGGGGACCAAACTTCTTTAGGGAGGGTAGGATGTAACAACCCTCACTCTACCCTAGTCATGCTTGCATATGTTACATGATCTTGTCTTGATATATTGCATCTTTGCAAACCTTGATTTGTCTTGCTTAAGTGTTCCTCGCATGTTTTGTACCTTGCTTGGTGTGAGTTTAGTCAAGGTCATTTTCAGTCTAGAATTATCTTGGAACCACTTTGTTTGACCTCCACCTTCGCCCTGACATATTGGCCGAGATGTCATTATCTAGGCCGAGGTGTTCATCACCAAGGCCGAGATGTTACCTTTGCACTTAAGTGAACTTGTCCTGGAGTGGTATGACCTAGACCGAGGTGTGGCACATCTAGGCCAAGGTGTGGCACAGCTTAGTCAAGTGTTGTCCTTCCTAGCCGAGATCATTGTTCTCCTGCTTGCCGATGTCTTGTTCTTAGCCGAGATAATTACCCGCCGGAGTGGCCATGCCATCTTGCTTGTTGAACACACTTTGTCATAGTCTTGTCTTTTCACTCAGCCACCTTTTTTAGGAGAACCAACCCGCTAGTGCCACGTGCCCCTGCAGAGGGTTAAGTCAGCCGACAGACCCAGAAAATATACATTTTTGTATTACATCTTTGCCTTGTAGAGAGAGAGGCTCTAGGAAGAAGAAGAAGTTTTAGAGTGAGAGAGTGGGCTTTTGAGCTTGATTCCTAGGGATCAAACCGTTAGATTCGCGTATTGAGGTTAGATTCTTAATTTACTTTTGTTGTTCCTTATGTTTATCTAGCTGCATTGCACGATCGAACCTGTTCTACATGTTATGCATTGGTTTAAAGTTGGTTTTAGAAAGAGAAGA